ATGGTGGTACTGACCTGACTGAGGCAGGAGGATCCCTTGAGCCTAAGAGGATGAGGCCAGCCTGGGTAATAGGAGATACCCTGAACAGATAAACACACAGACAAACAGATAGAAAAGTAAACAAACAAACCTTGGTCCCCGTGGCTCAGATCTGTGTTCCTGGCACCTGGGAGGCCGGGGCAAGGACTAGAGAGACGGATCAGTGATTAAGAGTGTTGCACTACTCCCACAGAGGATCCGAGTTCAGTTCCCGGCACCCACACATCTGGAGACTCACCACCACCTGTAACTCCAGCTCCAGGGCATCCTATACGCTTTATGTACTGGCCTCCCGAGGCACCCGATACACATATAAACGTGATTTCGAAACAACAACAACAACGAAGAATTGGTCGGGGGAGACAAAGGGGGAGAGAGGTGAAATCACACTTTGGAGGCCACAAGCTAAGCCGTACACTGTTTTCTCCTTGCTCTGATGAGTGGGTGACTGTGATGAGTTAACTGGATCTGGGGGACTCGGAGGCCACGTCTGTCTGTCTCAGACTGATTGAAACCCCTGGCTTTCATGTGGGCCTGTGCAAGAGAGCGTGGTGGGTGGCACCTTTGACCTCGAAGGGCGTAGTTTGGTATGATGACAAATGAATAAAATATCAGCTCCCAAGAGGAAGAGGCAGGAGGATTAGGACAGCAAGGAAGACTATATAGTGAGTTTGAGGCCAGCCTGAGCTACATGAGGCACCGCCGAAATGCTTGATTGAATGAACAAATCCATAAACAGCAGGATATCCTGCACTAAAAGCACATTAATATTGCCCATTTCTGAGCATTTTGCTAAGGTTTATTACATATACAATTGCACCCCTCCATGATCCTGACCTCCCTGTTTTTTAAAAGATGAAGCTCTTGTTGGGTGGTGGTGGCGCACGCCCTTAATCCCAGCACTCGGGAGGTAGAGGCAGGTGGATCTCTGTGAGTTCAAGACCAGCCTGGGCTACAGAGAGTTCCAGGACAGCCAGGGCTACACAGAGGAAACCCTGTCTCCCAAAACAAAACAAAAATGAAGCTCTTGACTCCAAAGTGGAAGCCAGGGCCTTGTTCATGCCAGGCAAGCCCTCTACCATGAAATCACACCCCAGCCCCTCACTGGGGGATTCTAGGCAGGGGCTCTACCACTGAGCCACACCCCCAGCCCCTCACTGGGGGATTCTGGGCAGGGGCTCTACCACTGAGCCACACCCCCAGCCCCTCACTGGGGGATTCTGGGCAGGGACTCCTCCTCAGATATCTAACTCTGAGCTCTTCAAACCAGTTTTCATCTGAACCAGTTCATCTGGCACTCACTCATGTGGAGGGGAGGGACAGTCTACCTGTCCTATTGAAGACGAGAACATTTTTGGCTCCCAGGCCCAGGCTGAGGAAGGAAGAGGTTGACAAGAGTTGGGAAACAGGACTGAGGAGGTGGTGTGAGTCTTTGGGGGGCTTCCTGGGCTCGCTCCTGCCATCTGGCCCCATCCCATCCTTTCTGAGGCCTGTACCCATCTGAAAGCACAGTTCCTTAGCTATCCTGAGGAAGATGGAGATGCTGTGAGGAGCCCCCGCCCAGAAAATGTCACCCAGCAGCTGGGGGATGGTGTGCAGAGACTGCTTCAAGACCAGGCCAGATGCGTCCCCGCTCCCCTGACCACTCATCCGACCGCTGCTGGACCTTGTTCCCCACAACTACATTTCCCTGTCTCAAGTCTGGGGGTAGCAAGAGGGGGGTCATCCATCAGATGAGTCAGGTAACTGGGTTCCAATTTCAGGGCTGTGTGACTCTTGGCAAGCACCCACCCTCTCTGAGCCCATTTCCTCATAAGGAAAAACGCTCACCGTAAGAGCATCTAGGGCTGGGGATGCAGCTTGGCTGTTGCTTCCTTGAAGGAAGCTCTTGGTTCGGCTGATACCCCAAATCCAGGCTTGGCGGTGCATTCTTGAAATACCAGCGTTCTGGAGGCAGAGGCAGCAGGATCAGAAGTTCAAAGCCATCCTCTGCTCCATGGGAAGTTTCAGCCCAGCGCCTTGTCTGGAATAGGGAGTTTAAACGGGGAGTGGAACATCACAAGCGAAATAGAAACATTAGCCTTTGCGGTTGTTGTAACTGGTATAAACCCCATTTCTTCCATTTCAGGGTGAACGGGCCTGGAGCCTTTATTCCACCCCACACCGGTGTACTGAGCGAGCGCCGGCGCTGGTGGGTTTTTAACCGCGGTCTTGGAGCGCCACCTGGTGGTCGATTTCGGTCTTGCATGGCAGGGGTTGAGGGATGAAGGTCTCCTTGTTCCCAGCACCTTCATTGCTCCCGGTGAGTTGTTCGAGGCCCTGGTCACACCCCGCAAGGACTGCGAGTGTGTTTCTCTGCCTGAGAGACCCGAGGGGCCTGCACATGAATGGGTGGAGCCGAGTCCGTTTCCTACACCTCGGCCTCGGTCTAGAAATCGTTTACTCCGCTAGCAACAGTAGGGGGCGGTGGTGAGCCAGCCCTGGATCCTGGGGCCTGGGCGGCACTCTCCCCAACTTCTGCTTTGGGGCAGGGTCTCCTGCAGTCAGGCTGGCCTGACATTGCTATGCAGCTGAGGATGACCTTGAACTCCTGATTTCCTGCTTCCACCTCCGCCCGGTGTCTCAGTCTTTCCTTCCTTTCTGAACCAGCTCTCTCGATGGGTCCACCGTGCTCTGCTCCCCGGGCTGAAGGCAGGGCAGGGGCAGGATTCTGCAAGTGGAATTCATAAGCGCTGCTCACAGGCCTGCGTTTCTTTGGCCCGGACTCTCCTCAGGCCCTCACCGGTGGATTCTGGGTAAGTGCTGTCTGGTTGATCCGCGTCCCTACTTCCTCTTGGCGTTTAGGTCTGGGACTCCTCTGCTGGGTAGGCGATGATTTTGATTGTCAACTAAGAGTCCTGCTTCTGGACAGATCTTTGAGGCTTTTTGGGGAGGATCAAATAAGGACTGAAGACCCTGGCTGCAGGTGGCCCATCCAGAAATAAAAAGGCGTGCTTTTTCTGAGAAAAACCTGCCATTGTTTTTAAACACTGGTGTGTGACCGGTGGGGGCGGAGGACAACTGTGTGGGGGAGGGGCGGGGCACCCAGTGTTGCCTCTCCGCTCCCACTGTGAATTCCAGGAACAGAACTCAGGCCGTCAGCCTTGGTGGCAAGATCCTCCACCCACTGAGCCATCCCACTGGCCACTGTTGAGGCACTCAGTTCTCAGGCTCTCCGCGTGCAGACGGCCACTGCTGAACTACCCAGCCCCACTGTGGAGGCTGCCGGCTCCTTCTATGCCTTTAGAGAAGGCTGACACAGCACGCACTGTTTCTGTGACAGGTAAGGTGTGAAAAGTTCGGCAGATTATGGGAAACTCATGGTTTGAACAAGCACCCAGAGAAACTTCATAGCCCAATTTTGAAAAACGGCAATGGTGGCGCATGTCTTTAATCCCAGCACTCCAGAGGCAGAGGGATCACTGAGTTCAAGGCCAGCCTGGTCTACAGAGCGAGTTCCAGGACAGCCAGGGCCACACAGAGACACCTGTTTTGAAAACTCCCCCCTTTCCCCCAATCATTATTGGAGGTAGGGCCCGCATATCAATCACAGCATGTGTGGGGTCAGAGGGCAACTTTTCTAGGGATCCAACTCATGCTATCAGGCTTGCCTGGCAAACATGTTATCCACCGAGCCATCTCTGGTCCTGACACTCAATTCTGAGTTAGCAGTAACTGGTGGACTGGGCTGTGGGAAGCGGGGTTCAGACTGGAGGGCCTGAAGGGAACTGTCCCCCCACACCATGGCCCCAGCTGGTGATGCTGCCTTGCGAGGTAGAACTTTTGACATGTGACCTAGCTGGAGGACGCAGGCCCTAAGGGTGGGCCTTGAGTGTTAATTAGCTACCCTTGCTGAGGTCTGGTCTCTGCTCGCTGGCTGTGTAAACTCCTGTGGCCTTGGCCCGGTATGGCCGCCCTGCATTTCCTGGCATGAAGAACAACTGCCCCTGAGCTGCCTGTCAGACGTCCCGTGGCAGAACCGAGAAAAACACTCGCTATGGATGGAGGTGGGCAGTCCTGCGGGCGGGCTGCTAGGGGTTTACAGAGACTGTCAGGGGCTGTGGAACTTTCCAGAAGTAATATCCACCCTCCAGCTTGGAAAGAAAGTGGTCACAGCTGCTGGCCACATTCTCAGCTACACGGGTCTCAAATCCTAGCCCGACTGAACTGATGTCTGGGGCCTCTGACCTATAGCAGCAACAGAAGGTCCTGTGGTGTTCTGAATAGGAACGGGACGGGGCGCTGTTAGGTGGGGCCGTGTTGGAGTATGTCACTGCGGTGGGCTTGAGGTCTCAGAAGCTCGAGCTTCTCTTCCTGCTGCCTGGGGATCCAGATGGAGAACTCTCAGCTACCTCTCCAGCACCATGTCTGCCTGCACACTGCCACGCCTCCATGATAACAGACGGAACCTCTGAAACTGTAAACCAGCCTCTATCAAATGTTTTCCTTGTAAGGGCTGCCATGGCTGTGGTCTCTCCACAGCAATAGCCCGGAGATAAGCCTCCAGGCTGGAGACACAGCAGCTTCAGGCCGATGGCTCTCCCTGCCGGCTGCCTTCTTCTTTCCCCGCTGGCACACAGCGCGGCAGAGTAGTCACTGGGCGCTGCCCCCGCTAAGAACAACTCGGGAAGTCACAGCCGCGAACACGCCGGCTCTGCAGCGCTGTAGGATCAGGGCTCAGAAGACAACCTGAGCGCACACAGTAAGCAGTTTGCTCGCAAAGCTTGGCTACAAGCAGAGGCTTCTGAAGGGGTCTGAGTCCGCTGGCAGCCTGCACAGGCCTCAGGAGCTGGAGGATGCTTCTGGGGTCACTCGTAGGCCCGCCATGCCCACCTCACTGGGAAGCATCTGGAACCAAACTGGACTCGCCCTGGAGGGGTCTGCGTGTGGTGGCCATGTGCTGATGTGGGTCTGAGATGAGGTTTGACTTACAATAATGACTTTATTTTATTTTAACATTTAATTACAGAACATAAAACAGCTGGGGGTGGGCCCCAGCCTCGCCCCATCCTGAGGCTACCAGGAGGAGCCCTCCCTGATGACCCTCTTTGGGGTCTTCCTATGGTAGAGCCCTATTGCTTTACCAGGGGAGGAGCCATGCAGATGAGGGGCAGGACCCCCTCTTGGCCCCACCCCCACCCAGGTCGGCCCTCCTCCGAATGCCCAGGCTGTGCCCTACCCAGTCAACTCCTCCTTCCTCGGACCAGGAGCCTGTCCTCGGCTGCCCCGCGCTGCCCCCACCCCTCTGCAACCTAAGGGGAATAAATACAAACTTTACAAAGTAAACGGGGGTCCGACGCCGCCTGGGGCGGGGCAGCAGGCCGAGGGCGGGGCGTCCCGCCGGGCAGGCCCTGGCTGGCCGCTGCTGTGGACAGCCTCACATCATTCCCAGCTGCAGCAGCGTGTTGGCATACGCCATGGGCTTGACGTTGGGGTGAGGCTGCGGCAGGGGCGGAAGGAGAGGCAGTCAGAGGACCCGCCACAGGCAGCCCCTGCCCGGGCACTGCCTCCCTCCCTCCCTGCCTCCCCAGGCCACTCACCACTGCTGTGAATTGGTGGAACTGGGGCCGCAGGTCCGAGCCCTGGAGGTGGATGTAGGAGGCTTTGTTTCCCATCTGGTCACTGCGGGGACAGGGACAGAGGGGCTGTATGGTTGGGGCTGGAGATTGAGAGAAGGTGGGAAACAACGGGAGGAAGCAGGAGGCCTCGGGGAGGAGGAGAAGGGGGAGATACACTCGCCACAGACAGAGAAGAGCCACACTGAAGAGGGCTGGAGGAGGAAGCCGCGGAAAGGGGGGGAAGCAGAGGCAGGAAGAGGCGGTGGGAGCTGGAGACCCGATCTCACCACTACCCCAGCCACGGGAGGGGCAGGGGGCAGCGACACCACACCACAGGGTGTTACAGCCCACGCAGCTCCGTGGCCTGGCTCCCCCCACACTCAGAGGGAGAGTGGACTCAGGTAAGAAAGGCCTCGCTCGGTCCACGGGAGGAGGACCTAACCGCTGAGGCTGGGGAGCAGCCCGAGCCCACGGGTGTTCATTACACTAACACATATCCACGCTCAGGTGTCCTTCCTATGGCAATGGTTTCGAGGAAAGTTAAAGCCAAAACCTGCCACCGTGGCTCATGCGTGTGATCCTACCACTTGAGAGGCTTGCAACAGAAAAGCCCTGAGTTTGATACCCGCCTGGACTAAAGCCACACATACACAATCCACACAAACCCCGTGGCCTGGGCAAAGGGTGGGGGAGGAAGACGCACCAATAGTTGGGGGCAGAGAAGACGGTGACACAGCGGCCACCATGGGCCACCTCGTAGCCCTCGGACTTGACCTCGTGGCTGCGGATGATGTAGTCCAGCTGGTTCTCCTCCAGGAAGGCCTTGGTGACGTCAGGCCCGAACTGGCAGCTCACGCCGCGCTTGCTGACAGAGCGCCCGTTCTAGGAGCAGAGGACGGGCGACTGGGGACTGCTGGCCCGGCTCCGCCCGCCCCACCACGCAGCCCACGCCCACCCAAGACCCCGGGCTCACCTGTGGCTGGGGATCTGACCACAACAGGTCACACATGGGGCCTGGGGGGGGTGGGGAAGAGGCGAGCGTCAAGAGACCTGTCTCCCAGCGTGCACCAGACAGGCGCCCACCCCACAGCAGGCCTCGGTGCTGGTGGTGGCAATGGGGTCTGGCGGGGACATCCCCGTGGCCGGGCTCCGGGCACGCTCATCAGTTCTGAGCTGGCCCGTTTCCCATCCTAAGCCTGAATCTGGACGGACTGCTGACACTCCCGTCCCGAGCAGGCCCTCTTCCTGCCCGAAGCCTCCTGTGGCTCCCACTGCCCCAGCAGCAAAGCCCACGTTCCCACCAAGGTCTGGAGCTCTCAGGATGTGGCCTCTGGCCCTGTGTCCAGCAGGAACCTGAGGGCCAGCCCTGTCCGCCCCACCCCTTCACTCTCCACTGTCCTCCCTCACTGGTCACACCCTCACCCCTCCTCTGGTGCATCTCAATGTTAGCCCCCTGCAGAAGCCATCCACGTCATCTGTGTTCTCAGCGACACAGTCTCTGGGACTTTTAACAGATGCCTTAACTCTCTTCCGGGGAGGGAGCAAATGAGTGACAGGTGTGTGTCATGGATGTCCCCCGGCTGGCACAGTCCCCCTCATCCAGGATGCAGACGGGAAAGTGGGCCCCGTGCTTGCCAAGGGCACAAAGTCTGTGTGAGCCCAGGCACTCCTCTGTGCCCGGGGCCCACTCACCTGAGTCTGGCGGCTGCCGATTCCGCTCAATCTTCCGGATATCATCCAGGGTGACACCATCCTCACTGAACAGGCCTCCATGCATGATCTGGGGGAGTGGTGTGTTTCTGTGAGGAAAGGAGCCCCCCTCCCCTCCCCGGCGCGCCGCCCACCTCCCGCGGCCCTCACCAGCACTTTGCCGTTGATGCACTGGGCCAGCGGGAGCCACTCGAACACCTCACTGAAAAGCTCATACATCTGGGCCGTGTACTTGGCCTTCACCTCGCCCTCGAACCCGTAGATCTGGTTCATGTTGTCCGTCTCGTGGTTGCCTGGCCGACAGAGGGATTGGAGAGAACCCTCGGCTTCCAGGTTGTCGTACACCTACCCGGCACTGCGCAATGATGGCAGGCTGGCCCTGAGCTCTCAAATGAGTGCCACCTTGCTAGGCAGCTTGCCCTTTGCGCCAGGTTAGTCCCCAGGGAGGCCGTCCACACCTGCTGCGATGTGAACGACACAAAGGTCCCCTCCCCCGTACCTCCCGTCTGGCGCCTGCCAGCAAAGGGCACAGTGAGGCCCACACTGAGCCGTCTGGCGAGTGCGGCTGCCAGGGCAGGGCACTGTTCAACCCTACTTGGTGGCCCCAGGGCAGGGGTGGGGTGGGGTGGGAAACCCTCCTCACCTCGAAGAAGATGAAAATGATCTGGGTACAGGAGCTTAAAGCCGAAGAGGGTGAGGATGACTTCAACAGAGAAGGAGCCGCGGTCCACAAAGTCGCCATTAAAGATCTTGCTTGTTAAGGAAACCACGGAGGGGGAGGCAGATGGGCCGGGAGGCAGTCCTTCCTCCTGTCCCCTTGGTACCTCCAGAGGGGGTACACCCCGGGCCTGCCTTTGGACTGACCCCACCCCCGACGGCACCAAGGACCCCCGTCCCTCAGAAAAGCCCTCAATGAAACCAAACACCATGGGACAAACACCGGGAGGCTGGTTCTGCTCATCTGCTCATGCCCTCCCTGTACCCCGGGTACAGTGAGGGAACTAACGCAGACAGGACGGCATGCTGGAGCGGAAGGGCTGGGCGGACACTGCCCAGGGGTCCTTGTGGGAGAGAAGAGCGGGGCCTGGACCTGCGGGGCCGCAGCAACAGTAAGGATGGCCCTGGTTTTCTTCCTCCCGGGGTCCCGCCCTCTCCACGTGGGGTGGCACTGAGGATACATAGGGGTTGGTCTCTGAGGGTAAACCGTTGAGCTCAAATATGTTGAGGAGGTCATAGAACTGGCCGTGGGTGTCTCCGCACACTGTAATCTTCTCTGTCTGGAAGAAAAGAGGCCACCGGAGAGGGAGGGGCCCAGAGAGAGATATGGGGAGGGGGCAGAGGGGAGATGAGGGGAGGTCACAACAGACCAAGGAAACATGCACGACACAGGGTAGGGACGCGGCATCGAGGAAGGCAGACAGGGGGGTTTCTGAGGCCCTGAGCCGGGTGACCTACCAGACCGCTCGCCCCTGCTCACCCCCACATGCACCCCTCACCCTGCACCCACAGCACAAGGCGCACGCACCTCTTTGAGCGTTGTCTCCACCAGAGTGCTCAGCTTGCAGAGGACCTCTTTCACCTGCACTAGGATCTGCAAGACAGGGCAGGCTGTGAGCAGAGCCGGCCGGGTGGCAGCACATGGTGCTGTCCTTTCAAGGCCCCCGAAAAGCCTCAGCTGCCCAGAGCTACTTGCAAGACCCAGACTACCGGTGCTGGCCAGGGACAGAGGTGGCTCTCAAGAGGTGTTGAGTGGCCCATGTGTCATTTGAACATCATGACTGGGGGCTCGAAAGATGGCTCAGCTCTTAAGAGCCCTGGTGGTTCTTAGAGAAGACCAGGGTTTGATTTCCAGCACCACACAGTGGCTCACACCTTCTGAAGGATTCAGTGCCCCCTTCTGGCCTCCAGAGGTACTGCACACATGCAGTATACAGACACACTCGGGCAATTTATAAACATCACCATCATTTCACAAGGATTTGGCTCATCTTTTAACATTCACCAGCATTAGGAAACACAATGGTGGGTTCACAGTATAGAAAACCTTATAAAAGAACCACCCTAGAGCCAGAGAGATGGCTTAGTGTGTAAGAGTGCTTGCTTGGCAGGGTCTGAGTTCAAATCCCCAGCACACGCGTGCATGTGCATATGTGTCTGTAGTTCCAGCACCGAGGGGGCAGAGGCAGGCAGATCCCTGGAGCTTGTAGGCTAGCCATAGCCAGTCCAGATGAACCAGTGGGTTTCCAGTTGAGTAAGACCCTGTTGTTCGTCCATGACTCGTGTGTCATCGTCCCCCCCCCCCCCCCCGTGTGTATAGGTGTCCTCACGCCCACAAACTCACATGCTTTACATGTAGGTGCATACACAGAGCTAGCCCACACACATGTAAACGCATGGTCATAAAGCTCCTTAAAATACAATCCTGGCAGGTTAAGTCTAGTTTAGGGTGTATAGTTTTATTCTTTGTATTTTTCAGGCAGGGTCTCACTCACTGTGTAGCTCTGGCTGGTCTAGAATTCCCTATGTAGACCAGGCTGGCCTTGAACTCAGAGATGCATCTGCCTCTCCTCCTGAGTGCTGGAATTTCGTGTGCACCACCACGCCTTGCACAGCCTGGGGCGTATACTGAGACCCTTTATAACCTTCACCACACTCGGGGACCCGGAGAAGTAGAAACTCGACCACATCTGTCAGTGCTCCTTTTACACCCTGACCCTGACCCGAGAAAAGTCAAGTGTGTTTACCAGGGTTCCAGGTTCTATGTTAATACATGAGTGAGTACTCAGTGTCTCCTCAGGGAGACAAGCGAGCATATCACAGTCCTGTAAGTGATGTCCTTGTTTTGAGGATACAGGTTACGATGGTTGCAACCAATTCTCAAATGGTTCTGTTAAAAGCAAGGGCTGGAGAGGTCCCACACATACCCGTGAGAAGTGTGTGGCTGTTACCTGCTCATCTTTTAACTTCCATGTACATTTAACAATTAAAAAACAAAACAAAACAACAAAAACAAAAAACAAACCAAAAAAACCTTGGCGAGAAGAGAAAGTGTCATTAAAACAAAACAAAACACTGGAGGTGGCCGGCCACTCAGGAAGCTGCAAAGGACTGTTTTTGTCACTCTAAGAACAAGACAAGCCCAACAGCCAGTATCACATTCAAAAAGGAAACTATCAAACCCACCCAAAAGCCACCTGCAGAAATCCCGAAGGAATCCCACCACTGACAGCGACAACACAGCCCTCTGTGAGCAGTGGGGTCGCAGCTGCTCAGGCTGGTGGCGGGGGCTCCTGTCTGCGCTAAGCACTGGGGGAAGGCAGTGACCACTGGCAGGCTGTGACTCCATCACAGGAGAGGTGGATGGGCGGCTAGTCCTGACACAGAAATGACTTCTACTGGCGGCTGCAGAGATGGCTCAGAGGTTAAGAGCACCGACTGCTCTTCCAGAGGTCCTGAGTTCAATTCCCAACACCCACATGGTGGCTCACAACCATCTACAGTGGGATCTGACACCCTCTTCTGGCATAAAGTCATAGAGCACTCATATACATAAAATAAATAAGAAAAAGAAAGAGGAATGACTTCTATCATCCAAGACCTCTTCCAACCACGCATGTCCTCTCTTACTCAAGTCTCCAACTTGGGCCAGCCATGCTCTTCAAGAATTCCTCTTTCTAGGCTGGAGAAATGGCTCAGAAGTTAGGAGCACTGACTGCTCTTCCTGAGGTCCTGAGTTCAATTCCCAGCACCCACAGGGTGGCTCACAACCATGTATAATGACAGCTGACACCCTCTTCTGGTGTGTAGGCAGACATGCAGGCAGAACACAGTATAATATATAAATATAGTAAATATTTAAAAAATTCTTCTTTCTGATGCCTTCCTGAAGGTCTCACTTTGGAGCCTGAGTAGTCTTTTGAACTCTGCACTGCCTGACACCCACAAAGTGCTGTGGTACGGATGAGGACATGTGGGAGCCCTCAGCATGGTGCCCAGTACACAGCCAAGGAAGTGGCAGCCTTTGTGATCATTCTCCTCACTCTGCTTAGGCCCATTCCCGGGCTCAGGTGTGTGTGGCACGGGTGGGTATGTTACCTGGTAGGTATGTTACCTGGTAGGTATGTTACCTGGTAGGCATGTTACCTGGTAGGTATGATACCTGGTTGGCATGTTACCTGGTAGGCGTGTTACCTGGTAGGTATGTTACCTGGTAGGCACATTTCCGGTGCAGTTTCTTCTGCTCCTTGTACCACTGCATGAGCTCTTTCATGAAAGTGATTGTCACTTTGCCGTCCTCAAGCTTGGGCCCGCTGTATTCATCTTCAATGGCTGGTGTATGGACAAGGATATTAATTAGTGGCTTCAGCCATGGAGGGGCAGGAAGGGATACCAGGCCCAGAGGGATGGGGAGAGGAGATGAGGCCATGAAGACTCCCATGATGCTGCGGTGCTCCTGGGTCTCAGGGTCAGCCCACAGCTCCTACAATCCCTGGACTCTGGCTAGTTCTAAGCAGTGGCTTCCTCCTCTGGCACCTGTCTTCTGGAGAGCTGTTTCCCTGCCCTTTGCCTCTGCCCCACATTCTAAACGAGTGGCTAAGAGGATGATTGCCAAGTAATCTCCTCGGATTCCGAGCACATGGTGACCTTCAGCTGACACCAGAACTCGGGCTACTCCCCCAGTTCTGTGCATCAGCAACACCCAGCAGGGCCTGCGAGGCTGAACCGCAGCGGTTCCCGATCAAATGCAGGGTGGGCACCATGGCTCCAGGAAGGCGAGGTCCACTGTCCACTGCCAGAAAAGATGGCGACACCCCCTGAATGATGAAGACCCTGACAGGGTGTGTCTAGGGTGTTCTGCTAGATTTGGGGTCCCCACTTCCTCTTATAGATCCAGGAGATGCTACAACATGAAGCAAATTAATACCCTTGTCCATACACCAGACATGCTAGCTCCTGTCACGTCCTCAGGAGGCAGGTCCTCAAATATAGCTGGTATCCCCACCAACTCCTGGCTCCCAGGCTTCTCAGCGGTGAGCAGATGAACTTGAGTCTGGAGACCAATGGCTAATGGTCTAACCCAGTGTCTAAGTCTCTATCAAGACTCTGAGGCGAAGGCAGGGACCTGGGGGCTGCTTGAGTCTAGGAACTCAACAGAACCCACGGGAGCTGCTGGAGGGTGGCTCACGTGCCCATGTGCTTTCTCTCTGCAGCTCTCCATCCGCAGACTGTCTAACAGACTGGTAAGTACCCTTCTGGGTTCTGTGAGTCACTCAACAAACTAATGAAAAGCGGACTGTGGGAGGCTCGATTCACACCCAGTGGGTCAGAGGCATGGTCAAAATAAATCTGGGACTCAGAACAAGCAACACCGTGGAGGCGGCAGGTTCCACATAAGCACCATGGCACATACACGTGTACTCAGAACGACACGATAATCAATGAATGTTTTTCAAAAGGGGGGGAGGGAACTTGGGGCTGCACCTCAGTTTGTCAGAACTGATTGGAATCAGAGCACTCTGCAGATGGTACCCACTACAGATTGGAGGCCTGGTTACCGGTGCAGAAATCTGCATACGGTCTTGGTGAGCAGGCGTCTGTGCCGACTGCCGATACACTGTCAGCACTAAGTATACAAGTGAGATTTGCTAGGATGGCCCTGGCTCGCAGAAATGTGGTCTGGAAGGAAGAAGATAAGAGAGGAAAGGAAGGAGCATGACTTCTGGGTGACGACATGGTCTCCCACTGTACGGGGCCACAGTTGTGCTGTGCTCTCACTGAAGGCTCCAGTGCTGCATTCTACTAAGAAAATGTGATCCGCTCAATTTCTTGGCCAAAGCTTTCTAAGATGGCTAAAACTGCAGCACACAGTGTCAGGTCTGATGCTGGCCTGAGACCAACTTCAGACTCCAGCAGCATGTGGGGGATGGGGGGAGTCACATAGGACCATGAACAGCGCCTGCAGGACCTCTGGTCACCAGAAGTGAAGGAAAGGGCCTGGTGTGAAGGAGTTGTCTGTACTCCATTGTCAGCCTCCCAAGGAATCTTCCTGCAGTGGCTTCTGAGGGACCAAATGCTGGGCCCTGGCTTTGGCTCAGAACGCTGCAGAGCCGAGGACATACCAGGCTATGTGACGATTAGTTGTCAACCCGACAGAGACTAGAATCACTGGAGATGGGCTGCTGGGCATGTCTACCTTGATTGTATTAACTGAGGTGCGAAGACCTGCCCACTGTGGGTGGCACCGGTCCCTGGCTGGGATCCCGGATCGTTTAAGGGAAAGGAGCTGAGCAGTGGCTCTATACATCCATGTCTCTGCTTCCTTATTGTGAGAGCAGTATGACCAGCTGCTTCAAGCTCCCTGGCTTCCCTGACATGATGGACTGCGCCCTTAAACTGTGAGCCAACCCCCTTTTCCTTACATCGCTCTCATCAAGGTATTTTATCACAGCTACAGGAAAAGAAACTAAGATAGACTTCTAGGGAACAGCCCGCCTGGTGGGCCGACCAGAAGCGACTGCAATGTCTGCTCACCTTGAATGGCGGCGCTTGCCTCCCCATCCGTGCTGAGTGAAAGGACACCACAGACGAGCAGCTGATTTGTTTCTTGTGCAAGCCATACGGGGCCGGTGTAAGCAAGGACCCTCCCTGCCCCATGGAACTTTACAAAACCAGTTCACAAGTTCTGCTAGATTTGGGGTCCCCACTTCCTCTTATAGATCCAAGAGACGCTACTAAAAACATCAAGCAAATAAACAAGAACATGGAGAAGAAGGAAGAGTTCATCTTAGGAAGGGAGAAGAGTTATTAAAAAAACAAGACAAAGCCGGGCGGTGGTGGCGCACGCCTTTAATCCCAGCACTCGGGAGGCAGAGCCAGGCGGATCTCTGTGAGTTCGAGGCCAGCCTGGGCTACCAAGTGA